ACCACTACCAGACACGACTACACGAGCACCCAGCCGTCTCCGGTGTGCAGCCACCGGCCGATAGAACAGTGCCGGCAGAAGCTGAGAAACAGAGCACCATGAGGAGGGCCGTGCTGATGTTGGTTCTGGTGTTGGTGCAATGCCTCGCGCTGGGCTGCGGCACGGCAGCGGCGGCCAGGGCGCGGCAGGGCGACCTCCTGCGCCGGCTGCGCTGGTCGTCGTCGCTGGCGGCCGTGGAGGAGCCGACCAGGGCGACGGCCAGCAGAAGACCCAAGCCGGTGCCGGTGCCGGCGGCTGAGGTCGGGCGCAAGGAGGCCGACCGCGTGGATGCGCTCCCCGGGCAGCCGCGCGGCGTGGACTTTGCGCAGTACGCCGGGTACGTGACGGTGGACCCGGCGGCCGGGCGCGCGCTGTTCTACTACCTCGCCGAGGCCGTCGGCGGCAACGGCAACGACGACGGGTCGTCGTCCAAGGGCAAGCCCCTCCTCCTGTGGCTCAACGGGGGCCCCGGGTGCTCGTCGCTGGGGTACGGCGCCATGGAGGAGCTCGGCCCGTTCCGCGTCATGAGCGACGGCAAGACCCTCTACCGCAACCCCTACTCCTGGAACCACGGTACGCAGTCACCACGCTCTCGAGTTCACCGTGGCATGAGATGATACATTGGCGAGTGATCGGGTCATGATGCAGCGGCGAACGTGCTGTTCCTGGAGAGCCCGGCGGGGGTGGGGTACTCGTACTCGAACACGACGGCGGACTACGGCCGGGGCGGGGACAACCGGACGGCGGAGGACGCGTACCAGTTCCTGGCCAACTGGCTGGAGCGCTTTCCGGAGTACAAGGGCCGAGACTTCTACATCGCCGGCGAGAGCTACGCCGGCCACTTCGCGCCGCAGCTCGCCCACGCCGTCCTCCGCCACGCCTCCCCGGCCATCAACCTCAAAGGGGTCATGGTACTCGTCGTCAAGCTCTAGCTTACACATTAATGAATCATCGTCATCAGTTGTGTGTGCATGCATGCTAAGCGATGCGATGCGTGTCGTGTCTTAAGATTGGGAACGCGGTGATCAACGAGGGGACGGACAAGAAGGGCACGTTCGACTTCTACTGGACGCACGCGCTCATCTCCGACGAGACGGCCGCCGGCGTCAACCAGAACTGCAACTTCACCAACGGCGCCCAGTCGAATGATCTCTGCGACCAAGCCAACGACGACGTCGTCGAGAACCTCCGGGACATCGACAACTACAACATCTACGCGCCGAACTGCCAGACGGAAGGGCTCGTCACGCCGCCTATCACCCCCTCGGTATGTCGCCGTCATCGTCACAGCTCACCATATTGTGACGATGGACTAAGAAATGATACTCTACCATGCATGCACGAAATATCCCGTGTATATATCTACTCCCTCCGTTCCTAGTATAAGTCTTTCTACAAATTTCAATATAGGCTATATACGGATGTATATAGACACATTTTAGAGTGTAGATTCACTCATTTTGCTTTATATGTAGTTTATATTATAGAATTTCTAAAAAGACTTATATTTAGAAACGGAAGAAGTACTATTCACCACTACTTCGTGATTCGTGTCATGTTTTATAGCCAGTGATGAAAATTGATTTATTTCATAGTATTACGTCATGTTTCATGGGCACGTTTCGCTCGTTCCAGCGTGTATCATATTGTTTCGTGGTGTATCAACAAATAAGAGTACACTTATTCCAGAGTGGATTTGTCGATACAGTATACACAACTGCATTGAAACAAGAAAAACCTAAGAAAACATCATGTAATACTTTGAAATAAGATATATATCATGGAAACAAGGCACAGATCTTAAAGCAGTTGTTAACAGTGAATACACGCGTGGGATATCTCATGCGTAGTACATTAACCACTCTCACAACATGTTGCCCTTGATGCCTAGACTGGGTATGAGCTTGACATCATGGTCGATGTGGTTGCTTGCCATTGTTTGAGTGGATTTACGTCGATTCCCACAACAAAATGTGTACAACAAAATAAAGGAGAAAATAAGTTTGTTTTTCTTGAGGTACTGAGTAGTGAAGTTGACTTGGGTTGTACTTTACGTGCCTCCAGATTGAGAGCTTTGATACGTGCACAAGTAATTATGTGGAGGCCTACCTCAACAAGCCAGATGTTCAAAAGGCACTCCACGCAAACATCACCCGCCTCAACCACCCCTGGTTAGCCTGCAGGTATCATCCACCGCTTACCCATTCTATGGTGTTATTTTAGAAGTGCCGTGTATTTAGCATATTGAGGTGAACAAAAGAGAAAGCTAAAAACAAAGTTTGTCTTCTCAACAACAATATCTCTCATCAAATATTTAAGGATATCTAGTTAGTAAAGAAAAAACTAGAAAATAATCCATTGTACTCCCTTCGTTTTTATTTAGTCCTTATTTTAGCTTTGGTCAAAGTCAAGCTTTGTAAACTTTGACAAAGTTTATAAACAAAAATATTAACATATACAATAACAAATCAATATCATTAGATTCATTATTGAATATACTTTCACATCATATAGATTTGTTATGATAAATATCTATATTTTTCTATAAACTTGGTCAAACTTTACGAAGTTTGACTTCAATATACTAAGTAAATAAAAACGGAGAGAGTACATTATATTTTATTGTCACCTCTAAATTGCATGGCAGGTTTAAGACAAGACCATCTTAGCAATCACTATACATGTCCTCATTTGTGCTAATGTTAGTCTCAGGTGTCCAAATTAGCTCAGTTCTCTACACTTTCTACTCATAGAAAAGCAGACAATATGGTTCGTCAAAATGAAGGCTAAACAAATCAAATTCCATTGACAACAAATCAAACGGTTTATGAAAGAATGAAAGGTCGATGTTCCACTCAAAAAACACTATTTTTCTTGCCCATTTTCAGCGAGGTCTTGACACGCTGGGTCGACAGCACCACAACTGTTTTGCCCATTATCAGGGAGCTGATGAAAAACAACATCAGAGTCTGGGTGTACAGGTACGCGTGCATCATACTAGATCGTAGCACTCTACAGATACTCATGCATGAAACTAAAATCAACGATCTTCGCAGCGGAGACACCGACGGGAACGTGCCGGTCACGGCCACCAGGTACTCCATCAACCAGCTCCAGCTCCCCGTGGCTGCGAAATGGAGGCGGTGGTTCAGCAGCACCAAGGTGCAACCTGAAATCCCCCGCCTTAATGGAACTGAAACCCTAACTGTTGAGCCCGACAAAAAATCTGCAGAATTTGTAAATGACATGTTCTTCGATCTTGTGAACGAACTCAGGGTGCTGGAGAGGTGGGCGGATACGTGGTGCAGTACAAGGGCGGCCTCAGCTTGGTGACGGTGAGAGGAGCTGGCCACGAGGTCCCCAGCTACCAGCCGCGGCGAGCGCTTCAGCTTGTCCAGGCCTTCCTCGCCGGCACAACGCTCCCTGACTGCAAAAAATGCTAAGAGGGAGTCAGGGAGATGGCAGATGGTAGTAGTACAGCAGCACCACCACCTTGAGTGCTTCACTGGTTATTACAGTAGATTTTACAGTACAAAATAGTGCTACTCCTACAAGAAATAAGTAGATTTTACAGTACAAAATAGTGCTACTCCTACAAGAAATAAGCAAAACCCTGGGATCAGGCATGATGACGTACCTTACTTTGTACACTATCTATGGTTACCGACGATTTAGTTCTTTTGCGGGGTGAAAGGGAGTTTTATTTCAAAATGATAGGGTTACAATCTCGAGACAGCTGCTCCTCACAACATGAAGGACTCGAGTTCGACCATACTGCAGTACAACACTCGGTACGGCTAGTGTGCCAAAAGATGTGCTACCCTATTCTGCTCTCGACCAATTTTACAAGGAACAAACTCCCTAGCAACCATGTGAGCTTTAATCTCTGCGTCAAGATGACCATAGGCTAATCTGGAAAGTGTGACGTCTCCAATTGGACGATCACCAGCATGTCTGAATGTTGAATGGCCAAAGCCATACCATGCATGATTGCATGAATTTCCGCTTCAAGGGCGTCATTACAATGAAAAATATATCTATATGCCGCAAAGATCGTAGTCCTATCCCTGTTCCGCAGTACCATTCCAGCAGAAGCACGCCCATCATGGCTTGAAAAAGAACCATCAACAGATAGGGCTACCCAGCCTGATGATGGCCGAGGCCATGGAACAGGGGTTGGACAACACATCCATCCTCCGAGATTGGCATCTTTCCTTTTATTATCTCTTCCATACTAAATTTCCTTGCCAAATGAAGCGACTTGTAATAGCTGTCCAAGTAATCAACAGTAGCTTGAACCGGGGTCTCACCCTTTCCGTGAGTAATATCATTACGTAGCTGCCATATTCGCCAAATGGTCTTTAGTTATAACAGCAAGTAATAAGCCAAGTGTTTCTCAAGAAGCAAGATCAATTTCATGATTGCTACATCAAGCACGCTACTATATTCGCACAAGATCCCATCAGCTGCCTCGCGTCACGCCAGATGATGAATCACCCAAGGGCAGCTTGTTCGTAGAGTCGACGGTAATGATGACTTGTTCTTCTCCAGTGGATTCTTCCATGCTGGGCTGCAAGGCTTCAGCAGAGAAGCTACCACCCGGCTGGTTCCTCTGCCCATTGCCCTCCGTGAAAGCTACTTCGAAGATGATAACTCTAGCTGCTTGTGCTTCCACCTGAAAGCTGTTTGCTGCGGAGCAACTGTCCATGTTGTTCATTTCTGTAGGTAAACAGGAAAACATCAATGTCAACATCAATCAGTAGATATAACTTAAAAACGTACGAGTAGGCCTATAGATTTCCATTTTTCATGATTCACTTCTTGATGGATGATGTGCAGAACCTGAAGACTGCAGACCAAGTAACTCCAGGTCCATGCTTGATGGCAGCAGCACTCCTGGAGGTACGATATTATTTTGGTTCTCCGCCTTCAAAGTTCCTTCTAGGATGATGCCGATGTAATTATGCTCTGAGTATGATGTCTTCGCCCTTGGTGTACAAGTTCATAGTAGATCCTGTGCTGACGAGAAGCCGCGTCTCTTGCATTGTCATTCTCTCGAACACACGTGGGATCAAGAGCTTAGCAATGACTGCAGCACTTTCCTGCAATTTCCATGTGCCAGTGATTAAGGAGTGGCGGAT